ATGTATTTGTACTGGATTGGTTCTGTTATTCATATTTGTTCATCTTCGTGGTCTAATATTGTGCATGGTCTTTTTTGTGTGTGTTTTATAGTACAAACCTCCTCTGGATATGTATAGATCTGCGATCAAACTGTGCAAAGCATAATTAAACCGCACTATAAAAACTCACAGGAACATTGATGTTTCATTATTTTATGCAGCCGCTATACAAATAGCCAGTTTCCAAGTGAGCCGTGACATTTAGTTGTAGTCATCTTTTGTGATGTGGATTTCAGAACCCCGGATTCCTGTAGTGATCCATAGCAGCGATGTGCCGGGGTTCCCAGTAGTGCTCTGTGGTACCACTGCTGTCAACTTTGACAGTTAAAAAGTTTCAGTGAGGTAATTTAGTAATGGTACCTTTTCATTAGCAGTCCGAATGAATAACTGAGCACAGCTTGTTTACAGCGTTTTGTTACATTCGTTTTAATGAATATATAAAATGACATACATTTGCGCAAATATTTATTATTACACTTCAGTGGCTATTATCCTTAAAAGACACCAATTTGCTTTTATGTTTAAGCCTTTACGTTAAACTAAATATGACTTCAAGATATATAATGTTAAGATAATGTACTACTTCACAAAGGATTCACAAAGAAAAAATGTTGATTTGTTTCTTCACCTAGCAGGTCCTGAATGATGTTTAACATTGCCAAATAACTGCTCCTTTGTCTTCTATTGATTTATTTTTATATCATTATTTTATAATAATTTTAAATTATTTATATTTAATATTTTTTATACAACATTAAATTTAAATTCTTATTTATCTACTTTTTTCCCTTCTCCTCCCTCTGGGATGCGGCAACAACATAGTTGAATCAGTTGCCGGAGAAACCTGGAACCTGGTTTCCTTAGTTACTAGAAGTCAGATATTATATTGTAACAATTAGGATATTTATAATATCTTGAACGTACTGTACTGAGGATACGTCACATGATCTTTATATCTGGTTCTGTGTACGCGTTCTAAGCATGCATGCTATGCATGTCTGCTGAATTTTTTCTAAAGGTCTGTGAACAGAAAGCTACATTGTGGCTGTATGTTATGATGAGTTGACTAGTTTGCAGCTGCATTTGATCATTTTCATTTGTTTGGCTATTCTCCCCCCCCCAGCTCAAGTAAACATTTGTAACTTATGGGTGGTTAGGAAACTAAAATAACCTTTGAGGTTATTCTATGCCAGGCTTAACCTTCTTAAAAATTGATAGGTCAAATAGCCATTTCAAGATTACATGCTGGATACATATTTCAGCCATATGTCTGGCTTGCACCTTTTGCTATGTAACAGTATTAAATTCCTTAGCTTTTGCCAAAATTGATTGTTGTTTTCAGTATTTGTTGTCATCGCTCACTGATGCTGGGCTCTGCCTCACAATCCCTTTGTTCTATGTTGACGTCTGTTTCCCTTTTTTCTTTTGATTGTATTGGTTTTCTACCTGCAGTTCTTCTACTGACTAATACAGGATAAGGAAATTGATGAATTTATATATTTGAAATAATGATGTACAATGAATTGCCATTGCTCTTTGCATTGTGTGCATACAGAGTGTCAATTTAGTAATCTGTGACAGAAACACACAGTAAAAGTTATGTTACCATTGTTAGTTAATCTTTGTGTATATTTTCTATCACAGCCATTCAGACATCTCATTGTATGAAAGCTTCTAACATATAATAAATGAACACATTTAAATTCAGTTTCTATTAAATACTTTATTTAATCAATTATAGTAGATAGCACTACTACTTTAAGTTAAATATGCTATTAAAATTCCAAAATGACAATAAACACATTCATTTAATATTTCTAACAGTTTTCAGTGGAATTATATTTGAATTACTTGAATATACTGGAATTAGACTTGAGAGGTAGATGAATCCCTCTAAGCATCTGCCGTTCAAATTACCGTCATATTTAGGTATTTCACAAGACAAATTAGTTGCCTTTCACTCCATATACTGTGATCTAACTAGATGGCTGGCAGTTGCTAATCTTCTGTTGTCCATCTGATGCTGCTGGGCAGGTAAATATTGTTTGAAAGCAAATGTATTAGCTGTGTTTATCTCAATTTCTGAAGAATAAAAGATTGATTTCATTTTTTCTGTTCACGACACAAATCTCATAATAGAAGCCCAGTCTTGAAATTTTCTTGTTCATTGTTGTATTGCAGCCTACACAGAATTTCCCACTTGAGATCAATAAAGTATGTCTATTTGTCTACAATGTAACAACAATTAAGAGTTGAGTTATTCCATCCAGGTCCCCAGCCACCACTACAATCTTCACCAGGATGATTGGGTAGAAGATGGAGCGATGAATCATTCACACATATTTTAGATTTCTCAACTTCATTGGTTAAGCATAAACAGACAGTATTTGTTTTTATGAGTGTGACCTTTGCACTTTGGGTAAGTAGCAGGGTGTGCAGATTTTAGCCTCAGATATTTACTTGTTCCTCATGTTGGATTCATCTGCCTTTGTGAAACAGAAATTGAACTAGAGGACAGAAACTCTTTACTTAAAGTGTGAATCATGTAACATTTCTCCGTCTCAGGGAATGACAAAGAGGTTAATTGCATCTGAATGCAGTGAGCATGCAGTGAGCATGCAGTGAGCATGCAGTGAGCATGCATGGGCAGCAACAGATTTTTTTTTCTTTTTCTTTGGTATGTATCTTCTTTGGAAAACAATTTATTATTGTAATAGATGGAGTCTGGCATAAGAATCCAGACTGAATTAACACCAGTGCATCACCTTTGTGTATAAGGAGCCAGTAGACCCGGCATCTGTATAATTTTTTCCAAGATCATATAGTTTTATTGCTTTTTTGATTCACTGGCATGCAACATAGCTTTTCTGTGATTTACTGTTTGAAAGCTGAAGGGGTTTTAACCTCCTGGCTGATACGTAAGTGAGCATTGCTTATCATGACTTGTGAAGAAAATGTGAAGCATCTTTAGCTGAAGCCTCTGTTTTCAGACGGCACTAGGGGCAGTCACATGACATCTTATGAGTTTTTAAATTACAGTGGGTATCGTTCAGCAGATACAGGCAGTCCAGTTAAGAACATCTGACTTATGCACAACTCATACTTATGAAAGGGCTGCCCATACAGCTTATTATATAAAAAATTTGGGTTAAATACAAATGTTTGTCATAACTCTCGTGAAAACATTTTGTGGCTCGAGGTACAATACAGCACTGTATTTAGCTAATTTTATTATTACTATTTAATAATTATTACATATTATTTTTCGCACTTAGCAAATTTGACTTAAAGATAGGGAACAGATCTCGTTTTTTTTTCTGAGTTGCTGTTGTTTTTATTTCTTTTCTTTTCTGTGTGTGTTCGTGTCTCTTAAGGGTACCATGGTAGCTCACGGTTGGCACTGCTGTTTCTCCGACACCCTGTGTGAAGTTTGTAAGTTCTTACCGCATTGTGCAGCTTACCTCTAGGTATTCTGCTCTCCCCGGGTTCACCGCTTTCCTCCCACACTCCAACGAAATTCCGTTGGGCTGACTGGCGCCTCTGAACTGGCTTGCAGTGTGAGCATGTATGTGCCCTTTGATGGGCTGCTTTTCCATCTGGGGTGTAACCTTTCTTAAGTAACCCCCCCGACACACACACACACACACACACACACACACACACACACACACACAACCCTGATCAGTATAGATGGTTAGAAGGTGGATATACATCGCGTATATTTTTCAAAATATGTCGCTCTTTTATATTTATTAATTCATAATTGTGTTGTAGCATTATGCTAATATTTATGTTTATGGTTTGGGATGAAATTGCGATTTTGGTTTTTTAACTTGAAAATACATGGTAGGCATGATAAGCTTTAGAATCAGCCTGTACCTTTCCAGTTTTCAGATATTGTTGGGTTTTAATTGCACGAATAATGAAATCTGTTGTTATGATTTTGATGTAACCAGATGGATTGATTGATTGATTGATTGATTGATTGATTGATTGATTGATTAGCCTTATGTGCTCTCCAGAACTTTTCCTATACGTCTGTGTCATGGAGATTCTATAACTTAGAAAATAACATTTTTGATATGTAGCGGCTGACAGTAATATGAACTTTGGCTTAATTCGGAGATGCCCTCATAGTCTGTTTAATGGCGGTAACTGCTTCTCTCTAAAACTAAGACCCTGATAACACACACAGTATCGCGTAATAAAATAAGCCCCATTGCTAATTTATAAATCCGTCTGGCTGAGAGGTGGATTCATTAAGATGGCACTTTCACAAGAAAATCCTGAAGTGTTATTAAGTCCAGGTTTGTATTTCAGCTCAGCTCATCCATGTGTGAACAGGCAAATGTTATCTCCTTCATAACTTGTTTTAGTTTTATTTGTATCTTCCTCAACATGCCTGAAGGACTTCGGTTAGAGCGGAGCCAGAGCTTGACCATAAGGACCGGCCCTGCGACTGGCTTCCCTCATGCTCTTTAATAAGAGCATTACAGCTTCAGTAAAGTTTCTAACTTCAGGTCCAAGTTCTGCACCTTTTCCTGACAGTGCAAGTTTGCTCAAGGTTGTCGGGTAGCCTTTTGACCATGGAGCTCTAGAGATTTTATTTATTCTTCTGACCAGAACAGTGCATGCTTTTTTTTTCCCTATTCACTATTGTCTCCACTTTCAAAATTGTATTATTTCCTTTTGTCATGGTATTGTTGCTAAAATGTTCTTAAGCTCTTTGGTGCAACTGAATTGAACTGAAGATTTGAATTGAAATGCATTGAATTTATTTAAACAAACAACCGATTTACTATGTATTAATATAACTAAGAAAATCTTGTTCTAAGGGTTTTTATGTTCAATATTGGTTTCCCTCGACATGAACCAGCGAGCTTTTGACCATACAGTGAGTTTCTTCATTAAGCACTGGCCCCACTGTAACATTACCTCATTATTGCTTTTGGCTCCTGCAGAGGAGAAGCCGGATTGCTCCAAGGCTCGCTGTGAGGTGCAGTTCTCACCTCGGTGCCTGGAGGACTCTGTGCTGATAGAAGGCTATGCACCTGCGGGGGAATGCTGCCCACTGCCCAGCCGCTGTGTCTGCAACCCCGCTGGGTGCCTGCGCAAGGTCTGCCAGCCAGGCTATCTCAACATCCTGGTGTCAAAGGGTTCTGGGAAGCCTGAAGAATGCTGTGATCTCTACGAATGCAAGCCAGGTATGTGCGGGACGAGCTACGCTGCTTCATCTACCATGCAGTTGTTGTGTCCGTTGCAGGATGTTTTTCCCAGTGAAAAAGAATGTTTACTGATTTATTTTATATTTTACAAGTATACGCAGATGCTTCTTGGTTTACGATGGTTCACCTTACGATATTTTGACTTTATGATTGTGCAATAGTGATGCACATTCAATAGTCAACTTTGAATCCTGATCTGTTCCTGGGGTAGCAATATGCTGTACGACACGTTATAGTGATGTCCGGAGATAGCTCCATCCACCCAGCCATGCTTCAGGTGTAGCGATTGTAAGCGTAAACACCTCATACAGTGTTTAATAACGTAACGTAATCATACTTGCAGTAATTTTTTATTTACTTATTCAGTGACAGTAATTATTGACTTATTTATCATACCATATTCAAATTCGACATATGACATTTTCGGCTTGAGACTGGTTCAACAGAGCGTAACCCCATCGTAAGTTGAGGAGCATCTGTATTCTCAATTCATCTCATAAAAATTTCACCACACCCTTCCTTTAAAGCAAATCTGACTTGGGAGTCACTGTATTTGGGATCCAGTTGATTCTTTTGGGTATTCAGTTGCTTGGGATAGCTTTATTTTTTATGCCATGTTAAGTCTTCATATGAAATAGTGAATTTCCATATATGGAAATGACAAAATTAGCTTTCACGATCGTGCCCTTATATATGTATACTGTATATATTTTCATTCACGTGTCTCCCTCTGCAGTTTTCAGTGTGGATTGTAGTACAGTGGAGTGCCCACCGGTGCAGCAAGTGCAGTGTCCCCCTGATAGCTATGAGACACAGGTACGCCTGACCGCTGACGGCTGCTGCACACTGCCCACCAGGTAAGACCATCCCTAAGGCGATATGACGGGCCCTTTGCTTGTCCATCCCCCCCCCCCACTGCACCCCCAGTGCTGACTGAATATTTATGCTCACGCTGTAAACATAAAAAATCTATTTGTGGCACCAACATGAGCAGACTTCATGGGCATTTGGATTCTAAAAAATTCATGAAGCTATATTCTTGTCGCATCTTATTTGGTTGCTTTTTTAAAATTTATTATTACATTTCCTCGACATGTTTCAGTGTTGTGCTATTAGGTAGGTTATCAAACTTTATAGTAAGTGGATTAGATCTGATACAACTCACAACTGGAGAGGATGTGAAGTTCTGTCCTCAGGGGCTACAAAAGGATGCAGCTACCAAAAAAACAAAGTGTGCTGCTATCGGTGGCTAATCGCTAACGGTGCTAATCCATGGAATTTTAAGTTTGATTATTAACAACCTTCAAGTGACTCTGGGGGGAAAAAATAGTATGAATCGGCCATCTAGACTCCCACAAGTTTCCAAAATGGATTCATTACAACTTGGTATACATTTCCTGGGTGTATGAAAAAATACTGAAGAGACATTTTATTATTCTGCTAGAAATTCATTCATTTGATGTTTTGTTGACAGTAGAGGAGTTTCAACCAGCACTTCAGAATCTCATATTAGTGTTTAAGTGGGTTGAGAGCTGGAAACCATTGTATATGTTTAGCATCGTTTTTATGTTCATAAATTTTTTAGTGACCACTCATGGTCTGGAGATTAGAAAATCACCCTCTCATCATCATTGAAATGCCTCACCATAAGATGAATGTAATCACACAGAATATATTTATGGGCCTTCTCTTGGTTTGGATGCACCTACAATATTCCAGGAAAATATACTCACGCTATAAGAAAGCCGTCAGAAGATTCCCATTTGGGAAAAAGCACTCGATCCTGCAGGTTTCTTTTGGCATGTGCCACATATATAGGCCTACTCAGTTGTTCAGAGTAGTGTGAAGGATGACTCCTCTGAGTATGATTTTTTTTACTACTGTTCACGAGCCCATAGCCTGTTCTTTGCATCATTTACCTGCAAAAAATAGGTCTTTAGATAAATGGCTTATGCACTGCAGCCCAAGCCGGTACGATCTCTCCCTTAAAAAAATAATCACCTTGTACTGTATCTTGAACAAATGCATGGAGATCACAGCTGAGAAGTATGTGATTATTACTATAGATGCGCTTAAACTTACGGTTAACCATCGTTTCTTGTGATTGATCAGATTAATTGGTTGTTTTTTGCCACTGAACCCCGGGCTGAACGTGTGCCAAAGATCATTCTTCTGTTAGAGTCACTGATCTCCTTTTCCAACCACTGTGTACTAAATAGCAGCTAACCCAGTGTTTTAATACCTGATCAGCTGATCCTAATCAAAAAGGGAGTTAAATGTTTGTTACAGGAACATTGCTTATTTGGAAGTATGGGTAGTTCTGATATTAATGTTTTTTCAACGTCAATAACAATCTACGTCATTTACTTGATGTTATATCTGACACATATGAACAGCTAAGCAATTGATGACTATATAAAACAACAGTAAATGTATTTCTCAGTAAACAACGGTAGCATATTTTAAAATTCTCTCTGAACAAATAATTGATATAAATCTGTAAAATATAAATCTGTTTTGACTTGTGCTGACTACAGAATGATTAAACGTAATTACAGTTAACGTAGTTTTTCATTATGCTAATTGATATAACTCCTACCCTGCAAATTAGAATAACTATTGAATATAAAAGATGACCAACTTTTAACAGTGTTTTGTTTCAGTATGATTATATTGATATTGGTGTTGGAAATGCGGGACACATCCACTGATTGTTTAATCTGCATTTCATTGTGGTTTTCTGAGTCTTCTTTCAATAAAAAATAAATTACCTTTCAGTTAGTAAAAGGGCTGATGAGGTGATTCCTTCATGCTTTTACAAAGCTATGTCAATACCAACATTAATCACTATAAATTCTGAATGAAAAATTGAGAACTTGTTGCACTTACCAAATGGTTTAGTGTAAACTTATAGTAAACTGCATAAAATACTTTTAATTTTACACATTATTGAAGAAATCTATATAGCCAAGGAAGTATTTCAGCATCCATATCCATACGCTGTAGAGTGCATGGTTGAACACACTTGTTCTTCCTTGCTTCCTCCAGATGTGAATGTTTACCCGGCCCGTGTGGCTTCCCTCACTGCCCGACAGGAAGCTCTCCCCGTGTCATTGCCCGCGCTAATGGCTCTCCAGGGACGTGTTGCGACGTGTTAGAGTGTGTCAATGGTAAGTTTCAGCTTTTGTTTGTGTTTTTTTTTTTCCTTTTGAATGTCCAGCTTTGTAAACAATGCCTCAGTTTTTGATTGAAAATAAGTATTTCAAGCTACAGTATAACCCATATTGTATAAGCAATCTCTTGTGTGAGTTTGGAGACTGCTTTTATTAAAATAGAATAGAATAGAATAGAATAGAATTGTTGTCATTGTGCAGTAGGTCTGTACAACGAAATTTGCTTATGCAGCCTCCAAAACAATACTCACCTACACACTCAATAAATAAATACAAATTGCAAATAACAACAAATAAGAATTGAATCCCATTGTATTAGAGTCCTTTTAAAATGCAACTATACAAGCTAGAAAATAAAATAAAATCATTCTGAAACAATTATTATTATATGGGTGTAACTATGTTGATTAAAATGCTTAAAATTATGGAATGCTTTAATTAAAACAGATGATGTGATTATTAAGTAACTGTAATTGTCTTGGCTTTCACTCCAGTTATGTTCCCTTCTTCATATTTAGTGTTTTCAAGCTTGATTGTTTATAATTGGTGTAGAACCCATCTTTGTTTGCTATATATAATTCTCATTTATTTAGTCAATTAATATTTTACATTTTGCTGTAGCTTGTCAAATTAACACTGGTTTTGAACAGTTGCATCAGTTTCGATGTTTAAAAATTTCTTCTTAAGCGAGCACTTCGCTAGAAGATCCTCAGGTGAGGCGTAATATTCTTCCTGTGCATCCACTGCCAAGCTGACTGCTTTATTTGTGCGCTACAAGCTAGATGACACTGTGCAGGAGATTTAGCGCAGGGGGATACCGGCCAACTTCCCCTCCAGCAGTGAACTATGGAATTTATATTTTGCTGCAGCTGAACTTCAGGTCGAAGTTGGCAGATGACGTACCTTTAACTTTAGTGTATTGACATTCTACACAAGCTCTTTTAGGGTTGTATTTATCTTATCAGAGAAATTAAATGTCACCGCAAGGTATGAGTTATAGGATCCACATGTGCTCAGGACTGGTTTTACTGGGCGAGTTGCTCTTTCAGAAGTGTGAGAAGGGTGAACTGCAACATTGCAATGGTTGTGTCTGTTTGCCACGGGATTTAAAGAAACGTGAAAATTGCATGTAGAAAATTCCACAATTGTATTTTTTATCAACTTCAATTGTTAACTATTGTCAATAAACATCTCGTATTTTCTTCATTGTCCAAACTCTGGGATATATCAATAATCTTGACAAAAGTCTTCCCACCGTTAGCTTGGATATACATTAGTCAAAGGGTCTTTAAATCAACTCTGGGAATTATTCATATGAGTAAAAAAATGTGATAACTTTAGTGGAGTTTTAGAAATAAATGTAGTTTTGAAGAAAAAACAAGCAGTAGAAAATGTAAAAGTCAGTGTTAAAGAAATCGATGTAGTTATGGTAAGTATTTTACGGAGAGCAGAAGAGGAGATGATTAAAACTTTGGGTTCTGGGAAAAAGGGAATTGGGAGAGATGCAGAGAAGAGCACATATGAATAGAGAGATGGGAATATGAGCTATACTTTGCACAAAGGAAGGACGTCTGAATCTTTTGGGCTGTGCATTCAAAGATATTTTCTGAATAACAGAAATGTAATTAAAAAAAAATGAGTTTGTATTAAACAGCACTGTCTTTCATTCTCCATCTTCCTTTTAGATTTAATATATTAATTAAATTGTACTTGTAGTTGGGATTTTGGTGATTTAAGGAGTATTTATTATAGGGTATTTTGCATATTTTCAAAAGATAAACATCTCTCAGCTGTGTGGAGCACTGTCTGAACCGTCTTTTCTGATAAGAAATGCCTTAAACATTAGTTGTAATGGCAAGAATTCTTTAAGGCACTTCAGCTGATGTTTAAAGATAATTTCCTAATGAGATAGAAAGTTTTTTTTTGGGGGGGGGGTGTAGAATCACAGAATTATGGTCTGAAAGGAAAGCAGGAGAAAAGCCTGTCTCCGTGCACACTGGAATGCAGTGCGCATCCGTATTTTTGTCCTCTTCACAATGCAGTGGGTGTGGAAGGAAAAGGTATGGGTTTGAGCTCCAGAGTAACATCAAAGGACAACATGGAAATTTAAACTGACTGAACATCTGGGCTCTGCGGCTTCCTTGCTCAGCTGGAGTGAGGAGAACGGCATTAATATGCAGAACTGAATGGGAGGAGGTTGGAATTTGGGAGGATTCTGTGTCGTAGATCCACAGATGTCCAAAAGATGGGGGGTGATTCACACATGATATTTCATATGAATCAGGCACTTATCTCTAATGTTACAATCTTCGCTACTTGACTGGACTCAAGAAGTTGTTTTTTTTTAAGAATAAGATTTTTTTTGGTTCATCTCTTTGAAAATTACTTTAAAATATGATCACATAAAACATGTTGCTTTTTAATTTAATATATAGTATATTAGATTTTTGCAAAGATAAGGAGAATAAATTCTTGACATTTTTTTCCCAGTCAAAATAGCCACACATCTTGTTTAAGGTTTTTATTTGTGCTCTTTCACAAAGCCTACTTTCCTGATTGTCGTTATGTATAATACAGGTGTCAGTTTGAAATAATTAGGTCTTAGAACCAGACTAACATTAATTACTTCATTGAGTTATGCACAAATGCTTATGGCCAATGTAACAAAATATTATATGAACAAAGAAGCGATTGTGAGAATTTTATAGTACATGTAGTTCTCAGTAAAGGAACAAAAGTATAATTACCATATAAACATATTTTCAGTATCAAAAATCATAATTGCTGTGTGAGTCATCAGTTCTTTTTTTAAAAAAAATACTTTTAATATGCAGTCAAGAGCAGGGTGAGGTTCTGCTTGTCTTAAGAAAAAACTGACAAGGTCACATTGATTTTTTTTTTTAAATCGTGTAATTAAAGATTTTTTTTAGTGACGAAATATGAGTGGTTCTGACACCGTGTGCTTTGAAGGATGCACTACCTTTATATCCAATTCTCTCCCCCCCCCCCCCCCCGGCTGTCCTCTACACCTTCTGAACTGTTGTTCTTTATGGTCTCCAAGCTCTTTAATGCTGTGCTTGGAGTGTACGCTAAATATGGCTTATTTAACTTTCATAAATAATAAAAATTTCCTTCCCTTTTTTTCTGGTGGGGGCAGCATAGCAATCAGTTCTCACACCGCATATTTCTGCTCATCTGCTGCCCTTTTTATAGCACCATCCATAAAGGGTTGTAATGCGGTTATAAGGTTTATACTGACATTCTGTCAGTACTATACCTCTATACATTTTAAGTCTTTATGGTCTGTTCCACTTCCAAACGGAATAAGCTCAGCCTGGTTCGGCTCAGTACAGTATGTTTCCTCAGTGGGCACCATATCTGGATCCTGCCTCTGCTCTGTCTGTGTGCAGTTTGTTCTCCTTGTGCCATGCAGATTTTCTCCTGCAGCCAAAAGTAAAAATTTCAATATTGCCTATAGATTGTAGATGTATTATATGATTGCATGTGCACTGCAAATTGGCCGGTACCCCTTCTAGGGCATAGCCTTGCCTTGTGCCTTATACTGGCTGAAACCAGCTTCAGGCCCCCCCCCTCCAACAATGACCAGCGTAGGTAGTTAGATGATGGGTAATTTGAATGTTGACATGCTGGGTGACATACTTGCTTTACAAGGCGTAATGGGAAGAATTCTATTGTTGGATTATTTATTGAAAGACTGATTCCACACTATGGTGCATCTAAGCAGAATGTGAACTAAAAAGTGCATATAATGTTCCTTTAAAGAAAAATTGTGTTTCTCATTTTGTTGTGGAATTCGATTAATAATTCATAAGGCGTGCTAAGAAAGACGTGCTACTGAGAGTTTCCATTTTTTTATAACAAAAGCAAAACATCGCGAATAATAATAAAAACATTCTCTTGGATTTTGTATTAATAATTGAGTATTTAAATTCCAGATTTCGAGTTACACTGCAGGTTAGAATGGTATTGTATGTCATCTCATATATGGCTCTTTCCTTGCTTCATGTCGCAAGTGGTCATTTCCATAAATGTTTTATTTAACGGAACAAGACAAACGTTTTCTTCTCAGATATCTGAACTGGAATAGGCTTCAGGCCTTCCCCATCAATCTGACCAGGATGTGGATGGATGGATGGATGGATGGATGGATGGATGGATGTGATTATCCACTTCTGTTTTCCCAATGCAGTTTAAGGTGTTTGGAAAGTATAAACTTGATGGAGAATAGAGAACAGAGCTTTAACGTGTTGGGCTTGGTTGCACAAGTAGTGAAAGAAAATGGTTGCATGTATACCTGACTTCTACTGTACCTGTTACCTTAAATCATTATCTAATAATGATGTGTAGTTTTTCACTCTCCTTGAGAGCATTTCTTGTCTGTGCCTTAGCAAGTTAGCATGACTCAAGACTTTGCTCCAAGGCCACCCAGCTAATTTATTTGTACTGCGTTGCACTTTGGATTGTTTAGTCTACAATGGTTTTTGTTTTCCTTTGTGATCCATTGTTCAAGGGTGTTAATTTCTCTTATGTTGATTAGCTGTGCCAGGTCAAGCATTCAGTGCGGACAATGCCACCGTCGGCCGCAAATCTGATTTATGACTTGTTATTGAAGTCTTGGAATTGTTGGGAGACTCTGGCCTAGATAATGACGCTATTGTTCAATACTGTTGCAGGGCAAAAGTTAAAAATGTGCGCTTGTCATGCAATACATGTAAACCTTCCTGGTTTGTTTTGTTTATTTTATGGTGTAAGGACCCTGCTGCCTCACAATAGATTATGTTCAGGTATGTTCAGGCAAATACATCAAAACTGCACAAACTATGGTCATTTAACAGAGACTGTTGCCTCTTTCTTTGCTACAGTAATTGATTGTGCTTTGACAGAAACTACAATAATAAGTGAGACTTTTATATTTATTGAAATATTACTTTCTGACATCAGCATGTAATTTAGATTAATGTTACTTTTTGTGCCTC